AGCGATAAACGTGATCGTAAAAAAGAAGCTGTCAAAAAGGTAAATTTATGTTTTTGATTCATGTTAATTTATTTCTCATATAGGTTATTGCAAGTATGACAGTCGGAAAAGATGTTAGGTAAAATTCTAAATATAACTTTTATTGAATATGAAATTTTTTTATGGTATTATAGTCAATTATTTCCCGATGTTGTCAATTGTATGCAAACAGATAATCTCGAATTAAAAAAACTTGTTTACCTTTATTTAATGAATTATGCTAAAACACAACCAGAAATGGCTATTTTAGCTGTTAATACATTTGCAAAAGTAAAATAGAAAAATAAATAAATAATCTTCTATGTCATTTAATTAGGATTGTAATGATCCAAATCCATTAATTCGTGCGTTAGCTGTACGTACAATGGGTTGTATACGTGTAGAAAAAATAACAGAACATTTATGTGAACCATTACGTAAATGTTTAAAAGATGAAGATCCATATGTACGAAAAACAGCTGCTGTTTGTGTAGCAAAATTATATGATATTAATCAACAACTTGTTGATGATCAAGGTTTTCTTGATATGTTAAGAGATTTAATATCTGATTCAAATCCAATGGTAATTTTTCAAAACTGAAAAATTCGCTGATAAATATGAAGATTGTTTATTTAGGTTGTTGCAAATGCAGTTGCAGCATTAAGTGAAATATCTGAACAATCACCACAATCGAAAATCTTTGATTTAAATGGACCTACGATTAATAAACTTTTAACAGCACTTAATGAATGTACGGAATGGGGACAAGTTTTTATACTTGATGCTATTGCTAATTATTCACCAAAGGTATGTTCGAAATACCCACACAAAATTATTCCTTATTAAATAATTCTTAGTTAGAAATTTCATTGTCAGATAAAGAAAATTTCATCAACTTATTTTTCATTCAAGTATCGAAATCTTTTTAAAGGTGGAGTAATCGTTATTATCTCACATCTAATTGTATATCTGCTCAAATGAAATAAATACCTGTAAGATAAAAATTGATAAGGCAAACAAATATTGTATGTATGACACTTGATCCGGAGTGTAATCATCGAACTTTCTTTTTTTTTGTAAATGTAGATGCGTACCATACTTGCCTAATGAGAAG